TCCGCCACCACTGGCGGCCCGGCGCAATTGATTGTGTCCCCTGAACTGGACCCGTCTGCTCCCGTTGCGCCTCCCGTGGCTCAGCCGACGCAACCAACGTCGCAGTCACGTCCTCCCTCGCCGGACCGTCGCCTATCTCGCCCCCATTCTCCAGCGCCCCAACAGGATCGGGCGTCCTCCCGGCGCCGGCGGAATTCTCCCCGGCGCAATCAGCAGTCGGGTCAGTGGCAAGCTCACCGTGGCGGTCGCGGCGGCTGGTGGGGTTCTCGTGGTCGCAATGGGGGAGGGTCGTATGATCCGCCCGTGAGGATGGCGGATCTGCAACGTGCGGTAACGACCGCGATGCGTGAAGAGAGGGCTGCTCAGACACAAGGCAGCTCGCACGTTGCCGTCGCCCATGCCGCCCAGCGTCAGGCGGCGCCTCATGAGGTTCCGCCCCCTGCTGCACTCGTCCAATCCCGTGTTCCGGCCTCATCGCTTCCCGCTGCTGCTGCGACTGCTCCCGTTCCAGGGTCGCGGTTGCATCTGCCGCCAGTCCCGCCCGTGGCAGGAGTAGAATTTGTGGCTGTGGGAGGCGGAGCGGTGACGGCAGTTGGCCCGGCTCCTCCTGCCGTGCGGAGCCGTTCCAGTTCCTTGCGCAGGCGCTGCAACCCCCTCAGGCCCGAGTTCCAGAGGCGACCCTCGGCCAGCTCTTCCGTCTCGCAGAGAGCTTTCACGCTCTGCTTCTGATACAGGTTCTCGCTCACTCGTCCCTCCCTGCGGCCCCCCTGAGTTGTTCCTGGATCGTCATCACGAATCTTGTCTGGACGCCGCCGATCAGCTTGCAGGGCTGCTGGCGCCCGTGCTGGCTGCGCCCGCCGAGGGAGGCGTTGCGGCGGCGGGGCCGCTTGATGAGGCTGTGCGCGGCTTGCGGCGCCATTTGCATGTTGGGTCTGGAGCCGCCGCGATCGGCGCAAGCACGCTTGTGGTCCGGGAGCTGTGGTGCTCCCTGACGGGCGTTCTTCACGCCCTTGGAGCTCACCGCATGTAGGCGCGGGCTCCGGCTCTGCCATTAGTGGTTTGCGCGGCTAGGCCGCTGTAGGGCTTGCCATGTTTGTATACCTCTTGTTAGCAACTCCTTGTGTTGTGTGCTTGTCGTTCCCTCACGCGCGGCCGAAGGCCGCGCTGTCGAGCCGCTCGGTTAGGAGAAACAAATGAGAAGAAAAACCGAACAATGAGGAGAGCTAGCTGCAGAGGAGCACTATATACTAGGCTGGAGAGTGCTGGAGAGGCTAAGGACTAGCTCCGAGGGCCTCTCTCTCTCTCTAATGGTCCGTATATTGATATGGCAAAAAGGTACAGACATATAGTTCCACGAGCATGTGAGATTCAGACTAATCCCTCTAGAGTTCCACCAGTGGCTCTCTCTCTCTCTCTCTCTCTCTCTCTCTCTCTCTCTCTCTCTCTCTCTCTCTCTCTCTCTCTCTCTCTCTCTCTCTCTCTCTCTAATGGTCCGTATATTGATAAGCCAGAAGGGTACACACATGCAATGAGAGACAGCAGTGTGCTAATATGCAGGGTAGCCTAGACTATCCAACCCTTCTCTTCCACCTAGAGCTCAAGAAGAGTCTCCAGGACAGTAAAACAGTCCCCAAGGTATAATTCCTGCCCTATCCCTCATACAGGCGGGTTCTCTGCAACAGCCGCCTCGCCCAACTTGATCATGAGACCCACAGATTGGGCCCTCTGCAGTGCAACCGACCACCTCTGCCTAAAATGGTGCAAGAACTTCGCGGCATGATAGGATTTGGAGTCGGCGTTGAAGTATCGCCGAGCCGCCGTGTCTGCAAGGAGTTTCAGGAACACAGGGACCTCAGCACAAGGGCATCCGTAGGTCTCCACTGCGAGGGGAAAGAAACCTACTGTTTCTGGCCGGTTTTCATAGTGCTTGATCTTTTTATCCGACTGCTTCCGGGCTGCCCATCCCCTGCCTTTCCGTGCCTCCGGATCCCTGGTGCTAATAGGATCTGTGACCGTGACATCACACACCCAAACTGCCCCACTACTTCTGTCTGTCATGGTAAAATCAGCCGTCTGCTCCTCTATGGGGCAGTAGACGTTTGTCTCCCTGTGTACTATGAACCCCGCATCTTGCGCCATGCTGATGCACGCGTCGCGGAGCTCGTTATGAGTATTTGTCCGGTGCTTCCCCGTGCCGCAGCGGAAGAGGTGGTTGGGGAGACGCGGGTCTGTGATAGCGATGTGTTCTGCACTGTCACACTTCTTCGGAGTAGAGAAAGGGAGGCCCAACCGGAATCGCACGGCGTTGTTGAAGTGTACCGGGCCGATGCGACGTGAGGAAGCTACTGGTACCGCCGTCAGCCAGTCCCTTGTGCCGTAGCCTGTGAGTGAGAACATTCTCTGTGTGTGCCCAGAGAGTGGATTCAGGCTCATTCGTCTCGTCTCTTGGACCTGTACCGCATACCTACTCCCCTGTACTTTCAGGGCCAGAGTGTGCTGGAGCTTGATGTCCGACCGAGAGAGCCGCTCCTGGTAGACTACGTCGCGTGCGTCTGAGGGCAGGGCAGTCTCGCACTCTGTGAGCCAGGAGTGAAGCGGTGTGGTGGCGTCCCGGGGCAGAATCATGTGGCTGTGTGCTCGGGTTAGTGCTGTGTCTGGTGCTAACCTCAGGGAGGAAAAGAAGAGCGCGGCTTGTGTGCAGCTTGCTACGAAGCCGTAGACGCCTTCTACGAGTGGGTCCGTGATTCCTAGGCCGCCCAAGGATGATGGAAGCGAGGCCTGCGCCCACACTCTCGACTGCTCCGTGCTACAAGTAGGGACTCTAATCCCGCAGGATGTCAGGAGCGCGGCTAGGAGGTCTCTCCCCCACTGTGCCCAGGTGTCTCGTGGTAGGAGGTTCAGTGGTGTAGTCCTAGTGAGGTATGCTACGCGTCTGGAAATGCAGCGGGTCAGGAGCAGGGAAGCTACTTGGGGGTCGGCTCGTTCTAAGAGCGGCAGCGGCTTCGACATTTCTTCCAGCTGCCACGCAAGGAATTTGGCGGCACTGGCCGCTGGCCCCAGGAAGCTGCCTAGAAGGCGTATCCCGTCCTTTTAAAATGGGACCCCTGGTGGCAGTTGCGTTGACTCGTCGCCGCTTGTGCTCCATGCAGCACATTTCTGTGGGTTATGTTTAAGCCCCAGATGCGCTAGCTTGCTCGTGAAGAAATTGAATGCTGCTACAGTGTCTGTGTCGTCCCCCAGAAATGTCACGTCGTCTGCATACGCCAAGCAGAGAACGTGGGGGTGTGCGTCGACCGTTTCGCGAAGTGCTGGGTGAATCCCTGCTGCGAACAGAAGAGGGCCGAGTGGGTCCCCCTGCCTCATGCCGCGTTCACTATTTAGTGGGTTGCTGGCGAAGTTCGAGTCGAGGTATAGTTTTGATGGGTTACCGTACGTTAGCCGCACCAGAGGGAGCAGTGACGAAAGGTTGTTGTCGTGTAACCCGTTGATGACTGCCTGTCGCGAAATGCTGTTAAAAGCGTTTGCGATGTCGGTCTGTAGCACCACGCAGCTGTTCCTTGAGTCGACGAAGGCACGTGCGACGTGGATGTTTGCCTCTGCTCCCCCTGGTACCGCCACCCCGTACTGTAGTGGCAAGAAGTGGTCGCGTGCAGCTTCTCCAATTGCGGTCAGAGCGGCCTTGGCCGCGAGGCGCGTCAGGCATTCGCCAATTGCAATTGGCCGAACCCCCCCACCTGGCTTGGTCAGCGCAATTAGGCGTGACGCTGTTAGCAGGTCTGCCACTGGCTCGGGTAATTTGCCTGTCAGGATAGTGTTGATCAAGGCATGCAGGTGGGTGCGGACCGATGCGTTGGTTGCAGATGCGTCGCGAAGGTGTTCGAAAGCGATTCCGGACGGTCCAGTCCCCACCCCATTTTCGCAACGGCCCAGAAGTTTGGAGAAATCGGCGTGGCTGATCTGGAGGTTCGGGTCGGGTGCTGTTGGCCAGCTCAGCTCCTCGTTGTCGGCTCGGGGGTGTTTTGCGCGAAGTTCATCCAGAATTGCGGGGTCTGGAGTGCAGAGTGGGGTTGACTCGAGGGCCAGCACGGCTCGCCGTAGACTTCCACGCTTGGCCAGGCCTTCCGCCCTGCTGAGTGCTCCCGCCTCGTCAGGCTGGTGACATGGAGGCGGTGGGGTGTTGATGGCTTCTATTGCGTCAGAATACAGCTGCCCCCATTCGCCACGCTGGAAAGCTCGGAGACGGGCTTTGACTTCGGGCCACTTCGGTCTTCTTGGCGACATTTGGCGAAGTGTGAGCCGAGGAAGAAACAGCAGCAGTCGCCACCCTACGACCGAGTCCGGATTTCGCGCGAGGTGAAGGAGCGGGGTGAGTAACACCAGCGAGAACAGCTGACACAAATTGGGCGGTAGTCGGCGCGACAGAGGTGGTTGACGAATGTCGCACAGGGGCGCCAAATCCCAATCATCGATGGCTGCGAACAGGTCTCTTCGTTTCGCCAATTCCTCTGGAGGGAAGTAGTGGGGGAAATGTCTTTGATTTGCTGACGCGCTGCCAGAGCGCGCGGTTTGATTCCTCTGCGCCTGTCCGTGGGTTGGAATCGTAGCCGTCCGATTCATTTGTTGCGCTCCTCCTACCTCAACCGCCTCACGTTCAGCAGTTTGCCACCCAGGCCTTAGCGTTCTAGGCTCATCACCTTCGTCCTCGTCGTCTTCACTCAGGGGGAGCGGCTCCTCCCTATAAGAAGGATCTCCACGCTCCTCCTCCGCATTAGCCAATTCCAGTGCCGTTAAAGCCCGACGCCCCGCCGCTTGGAAGCCATTCTCCGGTCCACCTCCCTCACCGCTAGCTGTCACTCTCCCTCTGCCTCGCCCTCCTCGGCCCCTCGATGGTGATTGCAGGGCCGACCGATTATTCGCCAATGCGCGCTGGCGCTGCGTTGGTTGCGTTCGAATTGCTACCGCCTGCCTCCGTAACGGGGACCACGTCGACGGGCTCCCCGATGCTGCCTGCTCCCAAGCCCGTGACAGAAGACGCTGAAATCCTTCCTCGCCCCGCACCGTCGTTTCGCGAGGATCTGGCGTCTCTGCCTGGCAACGATGGTCGCCAGGCTCCCTCACTGCCTGCACCTCTTCTTGTCGAGCCGCCTGCCCCTCTCGCTGCGGCGTCTGATGTGACTGCTCCGTCTGGCGCTCCTCTGGCTGCCGATCCCGCCGCTCCGCCGGTGGCCGCCGAGCAGACGGTTGTTGCTGACGGCGTGGCGGTCCAGCCGGAGGGGTCCGCCACCACTGACGTCCAGGGCCAGTCGGCCCTTCCCGCCTCTTCGGCTCCCCCGTCTGGACCGCCTCCGACGCTGGCGCCTCCTCCGCCTGTGCAGGCGGGATCTGCTCCTGTTGCCTGGCCTGTAGTTGCTCCGCCAACTCCCCGCGCGGTGGATCTGTCTGTGTCGCCTGCGGCCGTTCCCGGTGTGCCAGTGGTGGCAAATCCCTCTGCGCCGTCTGCCCCACATCCGCAGTCTCCTGGCCGTCGTCAGCAGCGGCCCCAATCCCCCGCACGTCAGGCTGAGCGCGCGACGTCCCGGCGCCGCCTCCATTCCCCTCGGTGCGGCGTTTCTCAGGCGAACTGGACGGCCGAAGGCCGCCCTGTCGAGCGTTGGCCTCCGGAGGCGGCCGGTGCGAGCCGCTCGGTTAGGAGAGCAAATGAACGCTGAACTGAATAATGAGGCTCAATGGGCCAGGCACTAAGGCCTTTATACTAGGCTGGAGAGGGCTGGAGAGGCTAAGGACTAGCTCCTAGGGCCTCTCTCTTTCTCTCTCTCTCTCTCTCTCTCTCTCTCTCTCTCTCTCTCTCTCTCTCTCTCTCTCTCTCTCAAGCAGTCATGCATTTAAATGGGTCACAAGGTACAGGCAGGGCAGGTGGTGGTAACTAGGTAGCCTAGGTATTGGAGCAGCCAGGGGGCCAGAACTAAACAAGCAAACAGGGCAAGCCCATCCAACCTAGAGCACCCCTAACTGTCAGAGCAGCCCGATCCCCAGTGGCTCAAGACCATGGGAACCGTGTTTCTTCCGCTATTCTCCTCCCGTACCACACAGCCTCCCCTTATCCCCCTCCGACCCGCCGATTCCTCGCACCTTCCCTGAGACGCCCTTCCTTATCCCTGTTCCCTCTGACCCAAACTAACCCAGCACACCCCCCTCTGCTTCTCACCGCACCCATGTACCCCTCCCCTGCCGCCACCCCTCCTCCTCCCGTCACCATGTTCCTCTCTCCCTGGCACCCTAAACCCCTCAGGCCGCCCTGACAGGGGCGTGTCTCTCATCGTACTCGTCCTCCAAGGTCTGCCATAGGTCACCTAGCCGAGGTGCCCAAGGGTCCGCCGCTGCCTGTGGGAAAGCCGCTTCCACTGCACGGTTTGACTTGGAAAGGATGGAGATCGCCTCTCTCTCTCTCTCTCTCTCTCTCTCTCTCTCTCTCTCTCTCTCTCTCTCTCTCTCTCTCTCTCTCTCCCTCTCTCTCTCTAATGGTCCGTATATTGATAAGCCAGAAGGGTACACACATGCAATGAGAAACAGCAGGTACTAACACGCGAGGTAACCTAGACTATCCAACCCCACTAAGTCACCTAGAGCTCAAGAAGAGGCTCAAGGACGGTAAAACAGTACCCAAGGTACAATTCCTGCCCTATCCCTCCTACAGGCGGGTTCTCTGCAGCCGCTGCCTCTCCTAACTTGATCATGAGACCCACGGATTGGGCCCTCTGCAGTGCAACCGACCACCTCTGCCTGAACTGGTGCAGAAACTTCGCGGCATGATAGGATTTGGAGTCGGCGTTGAAGTATCGCCGAGCCGCCGTGTCCGCAAGGAGTTTCAGGAACACAGGGACCTCCGCACAAGGGCAGCCATAGGTCTCTACGGCGAGGGGGAAGAAGCCCACTGTCTCTGGCAGGTTTTCATAGTGCTTGATCTTTTTATCCGCCTGCTCCCTGGCCGCCCATCCCCTTCCTTTCCTAGCCTCCGGGTCCCTGGTACTAATAGGGTCCATTACCGTCACATCACACACCCAAACCGCCCCACTGCTCCTGTCCGTCATGGTAAAGTCTGCAGTCTGCTCCTCTATGGGGCAGTACACGTTTGTTTCTCTGTGTACGATGAACCCCGCGTCTTGTGCCATGCTGATGCAAGCGTCGCGGAGCTCATTATGAGTATTCGTACGGTGCTTCCCTGTGCCGCAGCGGAAGAGGTGGTTGGGGAGGCGCGGGTCTGTGATAGCGTTGTGGTCAGTACAGTCACAGTTCTTCGGAGTGGAGAAAGGGAGGCCCAGCCGGAAGCGCACGGCGTTGCTGAAGTGTACCGGCCCGATGCGCCGAGAAGAAGCTACTGGTACCGCCGTCAGCCAGTCTCCTGTGCCGTAGCCAGTCAGTGAGAATATTCTCTGCGTGTGCCCAGACAGAGGATTCAGTCTCATTCGCCTTGTCTCTTGGACCTGAACCGCGTACCGACTCCCCTGCACTTTGAGGGCCAGCGTGTGCTGAAGCTTGATGTCTGACCTAGAGAGCCGTTCCTGGTCAACGACGTCGCGTGCATCTGTGGGCAGGGCAGTCTCGCACTCTGTGAGCCAGGAATGGAGCGGTGTGGTGACGTCCCGGGGCAGAATCATGTGGCTGTGTGCTCGGGTCAGTGCTGTGTCTGGTGCTAGTGTCAGGGAGGAAAAGAAGAGCGCGGCTTGTGTGAAACTGGCTACGAAGCCGTAGACCCCTTCCACGAGCGGGTCCGTCAGTCCTAAGCCACCCAGGGACGATGGGAGCGAAGCCTGCGCCCACACTCTCGACTGCTCCGTGCTACACGTCGGGACTTTAACCCCGCAGGATGTCAGGAGCGCAGCTAGTAGGTCCCGCCCCCACTGCGCCCAGGTGTCTCGTGGCAGGAGGTTCAGTGGCGTGGTCCTAGTGAGGTATGCGACGCGTCTAGAAATGCAGCGGGTCAGTAGCAGGGAGGCTACTTGGGGGTCGGCGCGTTCTAACATTGGCAGCGGCTTCGCCATTTCCTCCAGCTGCCCTGCCAGGAACTTGGCCGCACCCGCCGCTGGCCCCAGGAAGCTACCTAGAAGGCGTATCCCGTCCTGGGATAACGGGACTCCTGGCGGTAGCTGAATCTCCTCGTCGCCTCTCGTGCTCCATGCCGCACATTTCTGCGGATTGTGTGTAAGCCCCAGCTGCGCTAACTTGCTCGTGAAGAAATTGAATGCTGCTACAGTGTCTGCGTTGTCCCCCAAAAACGTCACGTCGTCTGCATACGCCAAACAGAGAACGTGGGGGTGGGCATCTGCAGTTTCGCGAAGTGCTGGGTGGATCCCTACTGCAAACAGTAGAGGACCGAGTGGGTCTCCTTGTCTCACCCCGCGTTCACTGTTCAGTGGGTGGCTGGCGAAATTCGTATCAAGGTACAGCTTCGACGGGTTACCGTACGTTAGCCGCATTAGAGGGAGCAGTGACGAAAGGTTGTTGTCGCAAATCCCGTTGATGATTGCTTGTCGCGAAATGCTGTTAAAAGCATTCGAAATGTCTGTCTGTAACACCACGCAGCGGTCCCTCGAGTCAACGAAGGCACGTGCAACGTGGATGTTCGCTTCGGCCCCCCCAGGTACCGCCACCCCGTACTGTAGAGGCAGGAAATGGTCACGTGCAGCTTCCCCAATTGCGGTCAGAGCAGCCTTGCCTGCGAGGCGCGTCAGGCATTCGCCAATTGCAATTGGCCGAACCCCCCCGCCTGGCTTGGACAGCGCTATTAGGCGCGACGCCGTCAGCAGGTCTGCCACTGGCTCGGGTAATTTGCCTGCCAGGATGGTGTTCACTAGGGCATGTAGGTGGGTGCAGACCGATGCGTTGGTTGCCGATGCGTCGCGAAGGTGTTCGAAGGCGGTTCCGGACGGTCCGGTCCCCACACCATTTTCGCACCGACCCAGAAGCTTGGCGAAATCGGCTTGGCTGATTTGCAGGTTCGGGCCTGGTGTCGTTGGCCAGCTCAGCTGCTCGTCATCGGCTCGGGGGTGTTTCGCGCGGAGTTCTTCCAAAACTGCTGGGCCAGGTGGGCAGAGTGGGGTTGACTCGAGGGCCAGCACGGCTCAGCGGAGGCTTCCTCGCTTGGCCAGGCCTTCCGCCCTGCTGAGAACTCCCGCCTCGTCTGGCTGGTGACGTGGAGGCGGTGGGGTGTTGTTGGCCTCGATCGTGTCAGAGTACAGCTGCCCCCATTCGCCACGCTGGAAAGCTCTGAGACGGGCTTTGACTTCGGGCCACTTCGGTCTTCTTGGCGACGGTTGGCGAAGTGTGAGCCGAGGGAGAAACAGCAGCAGTCGCCAGCCTGCGACTGAGTCAGGGTTTCGCGCAAGGTGTAGGAGCGGGGTGAGTAACACCAGCGAAAATAGCTGACACAAATTGGGCGGTAATCGGCGCGACAGGGATGGCTGACGACTGTCGCAAAGTGCCGCCAAGTCCCAGTCATCGATGGCTGCGAACAGGTCTGATCGTTTCGCCAATTCCCCTGGCGAGAAGTAGCGGGGGAAATGTGCTTGGTTTGCGGACGCGCTGCGAGAGCGCGCTGCCTGATGTCTCTGCTCGCGCCTTTGTGCGTCGCTCTGTCCAGGAGTTGGGATTGTGGCCGTCCGATTGATCTGTTGCCTGCCTCCTTCCTCGTCCGCCTCATGCTCACCAGCTCGCCTCCCAGTCCCTAGCCTCTCTCCTGCATCATCTGTTTCCTCCTCGTCGTCTTCACTTTGTGGGAGCGGCTCCTCCCTATAAGAAGGGTCCCGTCGTTCCTCCTCCTCATCAGTTCTCTCCAGAACCGTTAAAGCCTGTCTCCCTGCCGCTTGGAAGCCATTCTCCGGTCCACCCCCTGCGCCGCTAGCCGTCACTCTCCCTCTGCCTCGCCCTCCTCGGCCTCGCGATGGTGATTGCTGGGCCGACCGATTATTCGCCAACGCACGTTGGCGCTGCGTCGGTTGCGTTCGGAAAGCCACCGCCTGCCTCCGGAACGGGGACCATGCCGACGGGCTCCCCAACGCTGCCTGTTCCGAGGCTCGTGACAGTAGACGCTGAAATCCTTCCTCGCCCCGCACCATCGTTTCAAGAGGCCTTGGCGTCTCTTCCTGTCGAGCCGCCTGTTCCCCTCGCGGCAGCGTTTGATGTATCTGCTCCGTCAGTCGTTCCTCGAGCTGCTGACCCTGCTGTTCCGTCAGCGGCCGCCGCGCGGGCGGTTGTTGCTGGCGGCGTGACTGACCAGCCGGAGGGGTCCGCCACCACTGACGTCCAGGGCCAGCCGGCGCTTCCCGCCTCTCCGGCTCCCCCGTCTGCGCCGCCTCCGACGCTGGCGCCTCCTCTGCCTGTGCAGGCGGGATCTGCTCCTGCGCTGGCCATGGCTGTTCCCTCTGCGCCTCCCGCGATTGCGCCCTCTGCACCGTCTGCGGGGGCTCCTCTCGTGCCGCCTGCTGATGCTCCCGTTGCCCAGCCGGGTGTTGCTCCGCCTGCTCCGCCCGAGGCGGGTCCGTCTGCGCCGTATGTGGCCGTTCCTGGTGCGCCACTGGTGGCGAATCCCTCTGCGCCGACCGCCCGGCATCCGCAGTCTCCTGGCCGTCGTCAGCAGCGGCCGCAATCCCCAGCGCGTCAGGACGTACGCGCGACGTCCCGGCGCCGCCACAATTCTCCGCGGCACCGCGGCTCTCAGGCGAACTGGGCGGCGCAACGCGGCGACCGAGGCGGCTGGTGGGGGCCGCGTCAGCGGGATGGCGGCTGGGGGTCTGATCAGCCGGTGACGATGGCTGATCTGCAGCGCGCGGTGTCTGCTGCTGTGCGCGAGGAGCGGAACGGGCAGGCGAGCCAGAGCAACTCCCCGCGTGTTGCTCAGACCCCCGCGGCACCTCCTCCAGCAGCACCTCCTGCCCTGGCAGCCCCTCGTCCTCCTGCAAACGTTCCTCCTCCTCATGTCCCCGTGGCTGCGCATTATCCGTCAGTGCTGGCCGTTGATCCCGCTCCCCCATCCACAGGTGCGGCGTACTCGTTCTCAGCCCTACTGGGGCCTCAGCGTCCGGTCGCGGTTCCGGAGGTGACCCTTGGTCAGATCTGGCGCCTCTTGGAGGCGCTGCGGGTCGTGCATCTGGTGCAGGTGTATGGTCATGCCGCCCTGTCCCAGGGCGACTCACTGGTGGGCGGGCCTCGGGAGGATTGTTTCGCGGCAGCTGATCGCCTCGCCGAGCTTCTAGCGCCCGTGTTGGCTGCGCCCGCGCCGGGTGG